GTTATGCTACTACAATTATTTCTTTCCCTGAATCTTACTTAAGTATACATTAGAACACAAAAGAATAGGTTATAGAACCTTAGAGTATTTCATAATGTTTCAGCTTACATCAAGATTCACAGTATTCTTTTTCAATTTAGTCCAGAAGGTTTGGTCCACAGACTCTTGGTACTGGAATTTGAATTGATATGACTATCTATACCTCCCTGGATTTAATCATTATTGACTCAAAATTTATCTCAGACATGTGACAGCCATAGTGAGCTTTTAAAAGACAGGGTAGGATTCTATGATTTCCTGTTTTTTATTTATTCCAATCTAATAATTCAGCTGACATTTATTAAGCATCTACTACTTGTAAGGCATTGTACTAGGTACAGGATTGAAGAGGCACATTCATGAATAGCCCTTTTAGTTTGTGGAATTGAGGAAAGCTGCTTCTTGGGGAAGTGAAATTTGGGTCTTGAAAAATAGAATAACAAATAAAACGAATATTAACCACTTCCAATGTGTAGAGCATTCTGGTAGGAGTGGAAAAGACCTAACCTTAAGGTGAGATGGGGTCCCAGTAATGAAAGAGCCTGGTAGGGGGATAACACAAGTCATTTCAATCTAACACACACACACACACACACACACATACACACACACACACACACACACACGAAGTGTCTACATAATGAGTAGTTTGTATGGTACTTTAAGGTTTTCAATTTTGCATCTTCTCTAATCCTAACCACACTACTTTGACATGTCACTATCGTCACTATAGGTAAAGAAACTGACACTCAGAGTTGTTAAATGATTTATAAAAATATTTTGTTGAGGTTCTAGTCTTTAAAAAAAATCTACCTTTTCCCTCTGGCACTGCACTCCCTTCTTCCAATGGAACCTACTTTTGTAAAGTTAAGTTAAATAAATCATTACTTTGACTATGCCTGAAAACATATGTTTCATTCCCTCCTTTTTTGCTGATAGCTAGGATAGTTGCTTCACTGTCAAGTCTTCCAACATCTCAGTTAGCCACTATAGCATTAATCAGAGTCCTTAAGTCTTTCAATATTAATTTCTTTACATTTTTGTAGTTACCATCTAAATTGCTCTGTTCGTTCAAATGAATATTTTCCACATTTTTCCAAATGCTTCATATTCATCATTTTTGGCTCAATGCCTGATTACATTCACGTACTATGATTTGTACAGCTATTATAATTGATGAGCACTCACTTTCCCTTAGACTTTTGCTATTATAAAAAGTGCTGCTATAAATATTTCTGTACATGGTACTTTGCCTTCTATTTTGAACCTCATTCTCATATCTACTTAACAGTGGTATTGTTATGTCTTTGAGTATGTACAATTTAATGACTAAGTGCCTTAGTGTATGGTCACGACTAACAAGTTTCAGAAGTAGGATTTGAAACCAGACGAATAACATTCATCACCAGAAGGTTGGTCACTGATTGATGAATTGTTTTTTTGTTCAAGTAGTTCACAAAGATTATCTACTGTAGCATGAGTAATTAGAGCTGCTTGGTATGGTGCTCTCTCTACTCTCCTGCACAGCCATTCTGATGTGGCTAGTTTAAGATATTGTGCTCAGCCCTGAGGATGCTAAAGTACATGACAGGTCTATGATTTTGTCAACATAGAGTACTCTCAGTGTGAGAATTCCACCTCTAAGGTGGATCACAACTTCTTTATGAACCACAGAGAGATTAAGTGACTCCTCTTAAGGGGAGCTAGCCATTAAGTTGGATTTGAACCCTGGCATTCTTGAATCCAAGATGTCCACCATTCTGTATTTTATATACATCCTTGCTGAGTGCTGAGGATATAAAGGAATAGTAATGAACCTGGGATTTCATTGGTATCGGGAGCTCCCTCTACCAATTCCTTCTTTGCAACTTAGAATTTTTATGAGTTGCCTAAAACCCTGAGAAGTTAAGTAACTTGCCCAAGGTCCCATAGCCAGTATCTATGAGAACTAGAACTTGAACCTAGGTCTTTCTGACTTTGAGGCTGTCTCTCTCTCTGTCCACTATGCTGCCCTGCTTCTCAGGTACTGAGGCTATTAAGGTAAAAAATGAAAGCCCTTCTACATCAGTCCCTGTTGCCAAGAAGCTCGCATCCTCAAGGCGGGGAGGTGGGGGTGAGAAATACACCACATACACAGGTAAATAGGAAGGAATTTTGGTAGGGAAAGAACACTAACAACAGAGAGAATCCATACCAAGGCCTCAGAAGTAACTAGGGATGTTTTCACCTGAGGCATTAGGAGGGGTGTGTGTGTGTGTGTGTGTGTGTGTGTGTGTGTGTATTGGTGGGCAGGGATGGGGGGGCGTATGACTATAGCCCAAAAGACAGTCCAGCCACAGGTGTAGTTGCAGTGGGAAAGGAGACATTTCATACCCAGACAGTTTATGGTAGAGAACTGTTAGAGACAAGGCACAAGAATGGCAACGCCAAAGCTTTATCCCCGTGTCCATGTTTGTACCTGGAACAAGTCTCCGTTTACCTGCACTAATTGTGCTCTAAGCAACACCAATAGCTATAGTATACAGTATTACGTGGTAAAGGCAGCAGTGAGGTCTGAAGGTATGGAGATCATTATTGACTGGATGATGACTGCACAGTGATTCCAAGAGAAATGCTTTACAGCTCCTATGAGACCTGGTTGGTCTTTTGGCTGCCTCAGAGTGAATTGCAGATTTTGATAATCAAATGGTAGACATAGTAGTACATCTGGGAATCCATTGATATAAATCCACTTCCCATGACATCATAGTGATAGTAACAGTGAGTTGTGTGAGTTTGTCAAGACTTACTGTCTAATATATAATACTTATTTTAGTGTTTACCATCTTTATTCTGGAGAAGCAGCATGGCATGATGGTAAGAGTCAGGAGACCTGGGTTCTCATTTACTCTCTGTTTGACCTTGGAGGAATCACTTGACCTCTGTGACTGTATCTTTCCTGATCTGTCAGATGGGGTTACTAATACTCTGCCTCAGGAGTGTTGTGAAGAAATGGATTTGTCAAAATTTAAATGCTATCAAAATGTGAATTATTCATATTACAGATTGGTTTAAAAAAAAACAATACCTTCATAGTAGCACCAAGTGATTCAGTTTGACTTTTCTTGTATTTTAGATTTGTATGCATTTAAAAAAAATGTAATTATTCCATGTGTTCCATTTTAAGTCCAATTGGGGCTTTTTCTTTTGAAACCACATGAAACAGAACTAATGTGTTTGTTACATTTATATGTTTCAGGGACAGACGCTTGCTTCAGCCTGCTCAGATATGTGATATTTTGAAGGGTGTCATCTTGGTAATTTGCTTCTTCATGATGCACTATGTTGATTACTCTATGATGTATCACCTGATAAGAGGACAGTCTGTCATTAAACTTTATATCATCTACAATATGCTTGAGGTAAGGAAATAGTTGCCAAGACAATGTTGAGTTCATCTGTTTGGGTCAGTTATCATATCTTGCACATGGATAATTTAAGTTTAATGTGTATAATATAAAAGAACATGTAGTAAGCATCATAGGGAGAATGAAGATTTTTTTTTAGTTCTCAGATCAACTAGTAATCAAATTTCAACTTCAATTCCCATAATTTATATAATGAAAATAACTGTTTCTTAGTCATATTAAGTGCTTCTTGAAAATGTTACTAAGTGTTTTTAGTGAAAAACACTCTTTAAATATATGTTGGAAACTTTTTTGCAACCTTTGCTGGAAATTCACAATTTAAAAATTGCTGAAGAAAAGAGTAAATATGAATAACAAATGTTTTGCCTTCATTGTAATGAATTTTTAGATTTTTAAAAAAGTTTTTATAACCTAGCCTGATTAAATCTGTATTTGATAAAATTTCCCCAAACACAATGATCTAATGACACTGGCCTACTGTCTAGTTCTTGGAAAGGACCCTACATTTCCTATCTCCATGCCTTTGTATTAGCTGTGCCCCAAGACTGGACTGTTCTATACTCATATTTCTTAGTTTCCCTGATTATCTTTAAGATTCAGCTCAACAGAACTACGGGAGCATTGCACACAGTAACAGCAACATTGTGTGATGACCAATTTTGATAGACTTAGCTCTTCTCAGCAATGCAGTGATCTAAGACAATTCTAAAAAACTCATGATGAAAAATGCTATCCACATCCAGAGAAAGAATTATGGAGTCTGAATGCAGATCAAAGCATACCCTTTTCTCTTTTTTTTTTGTGGTTTTCCCTTTTTGTTCTGATTCTTCTTTCACAAACATGACTAATGTGGAAATGTGTTTAATGTGATTATACATATGTGGCCTATATCAGATTGCATGCCATTTTGGGGAAGAGGGGAGAGTGCGGCCCTCTGACCAAATGTAATTCACACGTGAAGGGAGAGACCTGAAAATATCTAGTAATTATTTGAGTATATGAGGTAGTCAGCCGTATGCAAATAATGACTCTGTGTTTAAATACTGGTTGGTGAGAGTGCAAATTGCCACTGCCTCAGCTTAGCACAAGCTGTCTCCCATACTTGGAATGTCCTCTATCCTCACTTGTGTCTTTCAGTATCCTTAGCTGCCTTCAAAGCTCAGCTCAGGTGATACCTCCTATTGGAAGCCTTTCTTTATTTTCCCAGTTGTTTTAATACTATCTCCTTTCTCAAAATATTTTGCCTTTATTTATGTATTATGCCTCCCAGTAGAATATATGTTTCTCACTGGCAGGGATTGTTTTTTGTATTTTTTGGCTAGAATTGTCTTTGAATCTTACAAGGATGAGATCCTTAATATCTCCTTATTAAAATATCTCCTTAAAAAAAGGATTTGTTCTGTGAAGTTTGGATTCAGTCAGAGGGCCGCACTTGAGGACCTAGAGGGCTACACGTGGCCTTTAGGCTGCAGGTTCCCCACCCCTGTAATGCTTTGCACATAATTGCTTAATAAATGTATTTTGAAATGGATTAAATTGATCATTTGCCCTCATCTGAAGGATTTATTTTTGAATCATTTAAATTGCTGAAATGTGTTTTGGTTTTTCCCCTGTACTTGGATATATTCTCACTAATTAATAGATACTGGTGATGGAATGATCTCTAAGATGAAAAATTGTTTCTGAAGTTTGACTTAGGCCATTTTTGCAGTATACTTTAGCAGGGTTTTGATACATCAATCTCAATGATGACTACTAAGTGAAGCATTTTTTTTTCTTATATCACTCCTCAGGTTGCCGATCGCCTCTTTTCGTCATTTGGCCAAGATATTTTAGATGCTCTTTATTGGACAGCAACAGAACCTAAAGAAAGAAAAAGAGCCCATATTGGTTTGATTCCTCATTTTTTCATGGCTGTGCTTTATGTCTGTATCCTTTTAAAACTCTGGAAAATCCAACTGATTGACAAATTCATTCACTTAGAATATGCAGTTGTAAATAATTACAAACATTAACTAGTAGCCTTATTTATATACAACTAAAGACTATTATTTCCTTGTCAGGAACTAGATGTTTTAGAATTTTAAAAGAATAATTTTTAATCAATATAACAAACATTATATTCACAATTCTTTAAAATACTTTGTAAGAATTACTTGGAATACATAATAAAACAAGAGATTTCATTATGAAAATGCAGTGAACAGAATCAAACTCCAGGACTGAATACAGCCACTATAATTTTTTTGTAATTGAAATAAGCTTTAAACTTTAGTATGAGAAACAATATATTAATGGGATTGAAGCTATATTCATGTTTTGTGGGGGGGGGGATTGGGGGGAGAGTTGTTTCATTTTGTTTTTCAAAGAAAGATATATGAGAATATGAAAAGAAAACAATGCCACTTCTGAGCAAGTTATTTTGAATATACTTGCCTCAGCGTTATAATTAACCCTATTTTCATTCACCTGTTTACCTCTTTTTTTTTCTTCTAGGTTAAAATGCCTGAGATAAGTCTGAGTTTGAAATATGAGGGATGTAGGGAGAAATTTTTGAGAATTTCTCAAGCTTCAGTATAGTCTTGTTGGGGTTTTTTGTTCTAAACTTTAGTTCTATCAGTATGGGGAAACTCCCAGTATGAAAACTCTTTTCCCTGATTCAGATCTACAGCTTATCCACAAACCTAGAATTAGAGATAGCCAGTATTTCAGAGATGGGACTTGAACTCAACTCTTCCTACCTCCATAACTAACCCTTTGTCTTCTATGTCATGTTGTATCTTATATTGGAGTTTTGGTGATTTTTTTTTCTTTCTATTCCTGAACTGTTCTTGTTTTTGGTGAAAGTTCATATTGGTGGAGGTCAATTCAGAACAAACATTTAAAATTAAATGTAATGCTTTCACATCCAGTCCCATATGGGAAGTAGGATTATCAGAATGCTTTGGAATACTATAGATATAATACAAATAGTAACACAGTTTTATACCTCTGATTTCTAGAAGGGTCATCTTTAAGAGTGAAATTTTGTTTTTTTCACTCCGTGAATTCATAGTTTTAGAGACAGAAAAGTTAAATATTAAATACTTAACTGATGATAGAAAAAAATTATCCAAAGCTAATTGCTATGCCAGCATTAACACATGAGTAGGGACCGTATCAGTCTAAATGAAGCAAGTATTCTATAAATATTCTGTAAAAAAAAGTAAATATTTGTGCAGTCTTTGACATTTGTACTTCTGAAAAAGAACATAGGAAAGGATACCAACTGAATTTATAGAGTTGGTTTTTTTTAAATCAATTATCCTACCTTCACAAAAGACTATGGAAAATCAAATAGTATTTGGGAAAAACACAATGATATCTGGATTAACTTTTTCTCATTCCTTTTAGTAAGAAAAAATATGAATTAGGAGTATTAATATATGATTTAATATTGAACTTCCAAGCTTCTATTTGCACAGTAATTAGAATTTTCATTCAAGCACAATTAAATGACAAACATTAAAGTTTGTTGGGTTTTTTTAAATCCAAATTTCACAAGTGTTGCTGTTTATCAACTATCCAGTACGGAAATTATAAAGAAAAGTAAATTAAATCTGTTTAGGAGTTAGAGAATAGATCAGTTCTTTTTTCCTCATTGAATGTCTTGAAAATATTTTGTACTATGTCCTTATTAAGAAGATATGGAAAAAATGTTTTTCCTTAACATCAGTATTGGCAGTTCTACATGCAATTCTCATTATGGTTCAAGCAACAACTCTCAATGTAGCTTTTAATTCACACAACAAATCACTGCTTACTATCATGATGTCTAATAATGTAAGTGGAAGGAAAATTTCTTATAACCTCAAGCAGTATCAAGATATATGATAAATTAAAATTCTAAATTTTATTGCTCTAATTCTAAATGGAGTTAAATTGATTTAATAAGAGATTCATTATTTCAAAAATACTGTATGTTAAAATCATGGCTTAAGGACACCTGTATTTAAAATTTCAGTTAAAATTGTTGATATGATTGTAAAAACAGTCATTTTGTTTGAAATTACAGTTTGTTGAAATTAAAGGAAGTGTTTTCAAGAAGTTTGAGAAGAACAATCTCTTTCAAATGTCCAATAGTGGTATGTATGATGCCTGGGTCCCAGTGGCTATCTTAAGTTCCATTTATATTATCTTGCACATTTTTTAATGAATTTGTTGTTCAGTCATTTTCAGTTTTGTCTGACTCTTCATGACCCCATTTGAGGTTTTCTTGGCAGAGATACTGGAGTGCTTTGCCATTTTCATCTCCAGCTCATTTTACAGATTAAGAAACAGGGTTAAGTGACTTATCCAGGGTCACACAGCTAGTAAGTGCCTGAGGCCAGATTTGAACTCAGGAAGATGCATCTTCCTGACTCCAGGCCTAACACTCTATGCACTGAGCCACCTACCTGCCTTTTTCATGAATACTGAAAATCTAATCTAATATGTTAGAGAAGGGATTTTTGTTCAGGTATAACTGTAGCTATATGGGCTGTGAGGTCCCTTCTAACTCTAAGAATCTTTGACTTTTCTGTGAACTAATAGTCTTTGTCTTTTTCCTTAGACTTTCCCAACCATCTAATCCAGGCTTTCTAGCTAACCATATTTCAAGGAGCTGGAAGAGACCTCAGAGGCCTTCTAGAATAGGCTATGCCCAAATACTAATCTTCTTTACGAAATCCCCTCAAAATGGCCATCCAGACCCTGCTAAAAGATCTCCAGTGATGGGTAACCTCCTACCACTGGAGGCAACCTATTCTGCTTTTGATTAACCCCATAAATTTTAAGAGATTTTTCATTATATCAAGACGAATCTGCCTTTCTGCCTCTTCCATCATTGTTCCTAGCATTGCACTCTGTGGCCAAACAGAACTAATCTTTCTTGCACGAGATAACTTGCTTGAAGATAGTCATGAATTTGTGCACCCACATACACTTTATTTCCTAAAATGACCACCCCCAGCTTCTGCACCTAATTTTAAGTTGGCAATTCTCCCACAATCCTTGGTTGCCTTCCTCTAAATGTCTAAGGCCTGGTTTTGCTGTTTGGTACCTGATACTGAGCAGATTACTGCATCTCAGTTTCTTTGTCAGTAAAATGGAGGTGTGACTCGATCCCCAAGAGCCCTTTCAGCTCTGCATACTATGATTCTATAGGTGTCACATTGGAAAGCAAGAAGGACTTGTACTTGCATTCATATCTCTCTTTCAATGCTCTACTTCTAGTGTCCTTTTTTAGTTTTTTTTTCTTTTTTTTTTACTAGCTTTGCTTTAGCTGAATAAGAAAGAACAATATAGTTTAAAAGCTATTATGAGTGAATGTCTATTGATCCATAGTTGAATGGTTAATTTTGCCCATTGAGTCATGAGGCAAAAATGCATCATTAAACTCTGCATTATTACAGATAAGTGTAGGAATGCATTATGTGCAAGACTGACCATACAAGATAATTTTATTCCCTTTCATGTTTCAGCAATTAAGTATGATGTTTTTCGAGTATACAGAATTAAATCAAAGAGATCTTCAGTGTATGGAAATTTTGGCATTTAGAAATATCCACAAAATTGTATTGTCTCCTATGTAAAATAATTTGTATTGCTATATCACCTGTCATCACCTGTTCAGGAACATTGAAGAGAAAATTACTGCGTTATATGGAAGGTTGGTCTAGTTGACCACTAAGGTCCCTTTTAATGCTAAAATTCTGTGATATGTACATAAGTATATCTGGTACATGGTGGCATTTTGTTAGAGTGACCATTTGGAGTTGTCCCTTCATCCCTCCAAAATCCACTAAAAAAGCCAATATTGTCCCCATCCTAGCCTTTCCTTTTATATAACACGTATAATACCTGTTTTCCTGCAGAAATCTTTCACTTAAAATTAATAATATTATGGATTAATAGTAATTTTCTCATTCTTTAAAAGACAAAAACATTAAAACTGTAGCTGTCCTTTACAAAAGCATTTAAGTGTGTTGTGAAAAGGCTCAGCTTTAACATTTAAGCAAAGATGCCATCTGTTTTAATGAAGATTCATTTATATGTATATATATATGTATATATGTGTGTGTGTGTGTGTATGTATGTATGCATAGATATACACATGTATATACACACATATATGTGCATGTGTATGTACATATATATTATACACACGTGTTTAATTCAATTCCTTCTATATTAGTGATATAAAAATGCATATTAGTAATATAGATTGAACTGAACTAAATACCTCTCTTCAATCTGAGTTAGAAGTCTTCATACAGCTCTACGTGTCATAACCTATGAAAAAATTGAAGAATGAAAATTTCCTTCCCAGAATCTGAGTTGGAAGGGACAAAGCAGGTAATCTAGTCCAAGAATCCCCTCAAGAGCATACTAGTGGTTCTCTAGCCTTTGCACAAAAGACCTCTAATGAGGTAAAACTATCTTTTGAAGCAGCCTTTTCCACTTTTGAGTAGCTCTACTTATTAGAAAGTCTTACAAGTTATAAATGCGTTAAGTGGGAACTTCCCCCATTTTGTAGTAGGGGTCTACAAATGGGGATTTTGGAGGGGCTATATAGGCTGATGCTTGTGTTCTTCACATGAAAGGGAAGGAATAAAGGGTCCTGTGTGGCCTCTGAGAAGTTTGAGATAGGTTATAAGTGAAAATCTTTCCCTACTCCCATGACTAAACCAAGTCACATGCACTCATAAAAATTAGGAACATAGAAATTGTCATATCTCACTATGTAGTATTCCTGTATCCACTGATATGCTAGCATTTATAGGAATTTCAAATCAGAAGATAAAGGTAAACATCATCTAGTTCTCTAGTCATTCCCTTTACATGAGTTTAGTTTTGGACATGTGCAGTTTAAGATGTCTATGGGACATCCATTTTAACGTGTCTAATGGACAGTTGGAGATGGCAGACTGAAGGTTAGAAAAGTAGTTAGGGATAGATAAATAGATCTTAGAATCATTATCATAGAGATATGGGAGCTGATAAGATACCAGGCAAAATATGCCTTGTATTCTTGAGTCTTTCATCTATTTTCAATGCCATCTACTCTGGAATGTATGAGTTGAAGTATAAGAATCTTGTTCTTATAGATCACAAAGTATGTTTATATGTATAGCTTTTTTTTTCTTTTATAGTATACTTTGTGTATTTTTATAGTGCTTCTGTATTCCACAAGAGGCAGTGTTGTATAATAGATAGAGAGCCATCCTCAAAGCCAGGAAAACCTGTGGCACATACAAGCTGGTGTGGTCATAGGAAAGCCTCTTAAGTTTCTTAATGCTTTTTGGTAGCTCTAGGTTCATAAATTGTACAGAGGTTGCTGACTTATTGGTAGAGGAACTTCCTCACCTGTAAGTAGACAAAGGGGAAGGTAAACTACAAAATGGAAATCTCTATAAAGCAATTTCTTTTTTATGGCAATAGCAATGTCTGATGCCTGGCACAGTTGTTAAACCTGAAATATTTGTTAAATGAATGGATGAACTCAGGAAAATTGTGAACAAAGGCTTATCGATTATAAAAGGGAAATAGATCTGATAGTGTTAAGAAAGATGGGAATGAGAGAATGGGAGATGGGGATTAGGGATTGTTTTGTTTTCTCCTATGTGGCTAGAAGCTGATTAATATAAGGGTTAGAATGGAAACAAGTGGAGGGAAATTGTTAGCTATGAGGGTAATAGTAGGGGCAGTTGAAAAATAAAGCTCCTATTTTCCAATGAGTATTTTTGGACAAGGGCCAAAGAAATAGTGCCATACTCACTCTTGCGTGATGGAGGAGTGGAGGTGTCAGTGCTTTTGCTGCAGCTGTTCAGGAAGAGGATTCTGGGTGTTTAGTCAGCTCCAGCCTGCTGCTGTTCCTATTATTCTTCTAGAGTGACTGGAAATGGCAAACCACTCCACTAAACCCCAAATAGGGTCATGAAAAGTCAGATATGACTGAAATGACTGAACTTCAACAACAATAAGAGGGACGGGGAAGGAGGGAGTGGATGCATCACTTAAATCAGGGATAGTGTTGGTACAGCTGAATCCCTAGTTGGCAGAGGACACAGGAATGACTAGGGAAAGGGGAAGGAAGAAAGCACTCTTAAATCTCATGATTCCTATAAGGATTTGCCTACCAATAAATTGCCAACCTGATTTTTACATAATCCAACTAAAACTTCCATTTCCATACATTGTTAATTGTCTATACTTAATAAAGTAATGAAGAAAATATTAATAATGCAAATTAAACTTTAAAATATAGCTTGTACACATTTTTTCAGAACCCCAGTTCTTAAGCATTTATCAGTATACCCCTGATTGTAGTAGATATACCATTTGGTTGTAAGCTATAGAGGATAGAGTGAGAAGGTATCCTACACATTGTCTAGTAAACCCTTTATTTTTATAGGTGAGAAAACTTAGGTCCAATAGGGTTAATTCATCCAATGTCATTTGTATTTTATACTATTTTCAATTAACTGTCTAACTCACAATGTCAGACCAATGCCCTTGTAACACCTTGCACATTACTTTATGTGTAGTGTATATTTAATAAATATTTATTGAAACAAATTTTAAATATATTCTTTATATTTCTCATTTTTTAGATATTAAGGAACGGTTCACAAATTATGTGCTCTTGCTAATAGTATGTCTAAGAAATATGGAACAATTTTCTTGGAATCCAGGTAATTAAACATTTGCCAACTGTGAGGAAGCTTAATTTTGCTTTTGAATTAAAGCTCTTAAAATTGGAATAAAATAATTACTGAAGTTTTTAAGAAATACATTTTCAGCTTTATCTAATTTATGTACATGTAAAAGAAAATTGAGACTTAACCCAATTCAAGGATTGTAGGTGTTTTCCCAGCCATTTTAAATGTGCCTTGTTGACTTAGTCTTTTCCCAGTCTCTGAAATAATGAGTTTGGGATTATGAAGATGTGATAGGTGCTCATCATGATATCCTTCTATCCCCTACCCTAGTTCTCACATCTCCTTTTTGCTGTTCTCAGTCCTCAGCTCCTGGCACTGTCACTTCAGGTGACTTGCTCCTGGGAAGCTCCACCTAAAGCCACCAGGGGCTGCCATTGCTATTACATAATGTCAGCCAAGGGCAGATAGCCCTGGAAATCTTGAGAGGCTTCATTACCAAATGGAATAGACTTTCAGGATGATGAAACAGGGAAAATCATTTGTCAAGGATCCTAAGTTTAGATCCAGAGGTCATCTAGTTGAAACCTCCCCTACCCCTTGTTTTTTACAGATGAGGAATCGGAGGCCCCATAGTCAGTAAGTGACAGAGCCAAGATTAAACTGGAGCCCCTCTGCCTCTATAACTAGCACTCTTTTCCCTCTACCATGCTATAGCAGAGGACCTGGCTATCCTTGGAATTGGGTCAACAAAACAAATCCTCACATGGCAGGGTGATGTCTTAAAAGTTGGACTTCTCTTTAATAGAACAATGGAAAAAATTGCATTTGGAGCTAAACATTTACTCTAAAAGGCAACACCTAGAAGAGTGGCTCTTCAATTTCAATTTTATTAAACCGAATTCCACAAACACCTGGCAGTCTTGGGTAAGATTCATGGCCAGAGTCCTTGATACCAGCAAACGTCTTAATTGGAAATCTTATCTTAAAAGCCAAGCTCCTGGGTGACTCCTCCTTATCCAAAGTGAGTTTTTTTTTTCTGCTTGAGAGAAAGATACATGTTTGCATTTCCAAGATTTGGAGTTTTTTAAATGGAGCAGGCTGCTTTACACTCCTCTTTGGGGTACCACTGTCTCTAAATACTTTAATGGCAAACATTCTTTATAGTCATCAGGAAACCAGTACTGTGCAAACAGATACATGATAGTTTCCTACCTGGCAAACAGCCTTCACTGACCAGTACAAACTCCTCAGTTCCAGAACACTAAAGGAATGAAACAGAAACCCCCTTCCAGATGTAAATACAGGTGGACAAACACTAGCCAAGAACCTTGGTGTAGATATCATCCTCTCTGCTTTCCTCCCCTCGTCCTGTTGTCATCTTTCAGTTCTTACTTTCTCCCCTGATTTTAGATGTTCATGTACGATTTCCATGTTAGTTTTTATCATTTTTCATTTTGTAAGGCTGCATACATTTATAAATTAGGCTGACATGACTATTTAAAAGCAATTTATGAATTAAAATACTCCAATCAGAAAAGATAGGGGGAGAAGCTAAAGGACTTGAAACCACTATGATTATTAAGGAACCACAAGCGAGGATGGTCCCTAAGGCTCTGTCCTCAACACTCTTCTCTTTCAACACACACTGTCTCTTGAAAATATTATCTACTCCAGTGACTTTAGTTGATGGTTCAATGTAAATGTCTCCAAAGTCTGTAATATCGAGTCCTAATATATTACCTAAGCTCCAGTCCTCTCTTTCCACTTCATTGATAGAAATCGTATGGCTGCCCCACAGGCCCTTCACATTCAAAATTTACTTTTGGATCTCTCATAGAATCATAGACAAAAGTGACCAGAGAGATGATTAAGTCTTCTCTCCTCATTTAGAAGACACAAAAACTGAGGCCCTCTGACTCTAAATCCAATATTCTTTCCAATTTACCACATTGCTTTCCTTGCCCCCCCCACATGCCTATCTTGTGTCATACTTATTTGTATACATGTCACACTGTTCCCCCCAATATCCCCCCTACCATTGACATTTGACTATAAGCTTCTTGAGGCTGTAAATGGAATTTATTTGGTTTTGTTCTTGTTTCTTTAGTACTTTTCATTCTCATGCAGTCCAAATAGTAGGCATTTAATAAGGTTTGTTGAATTAAATAGTCTGTTTTCCTTGTACCATGGCATTATCCTAAATTATCTGCAATAGTTTGAATTTTACAATTTACCATGAATCTTGTAACAAAATATGTTAACAAATGTCTCTTGAGATGGTGAATAAACGTATAAATTTGGGTTAGAACCTTAAGCACTACAAAGTCAAAGTTTACCTGGCCTGTCCATTCTTTATTTCCCCCTTCTTCTCCACCTTTGTAGGATAAGGAATTGTTTGCATGCTTACAAAAAATTTTATTTATTTAATATTTATTCAACACTTTGTTTTTCAAAATTGTAGCTTATCTAGGGCCATTGAAGCTTCCTTTTGGAGATTTGTCTTTTAGACTTTCGCTTCTGTTTAGCCACATAACTATGTATGATTTCTCACTATTGGTTAAAAGGAGGCTTTTAGAGAAAATGTGGATGTTAGAGCCTTGGACTTATTTGCCATAGATCTTTGGTAGTTGTATCTATAACAAAAAGTCTGCTCTATACTTGATAAGGTATTCATGAAGTCTTTGATTTAACCCCATTATAAACTACTTAAGGATAGAAATTCTATCTTATACTTTGTATTCCTCACATTGCTTTACGTTTGGAGTCATTACTTGTTAATTTGACTTGAAAATCTCCAGTTCTTGATTATAATGCTCCAGAAAGAGTTGCCTAGTCCTGTCTAAGTATATTAAGTGATGTTGGAAGCATATCGTTTTTTAACTGGCTATGTTGCCCATCTATAGGTAAAACCACAGAGTCAGTCAGTCAGCAAACATTTATTAAGTGCTATGTTCCAGACACTTTGCTAATAAGCATAGGTGAGTCAAAGAAAGGCAAAACTAGTCTGTGCCCTCGAGGAGTTCACAATCTAATCAAAGAGACAACATTAAGTAACCAGGGACATACAAGATACATACAGAATTGATGGAAGGTAATATGAGAGGAGAAGGCACCAGTAGCTGGAGGGACCAGGAAAAGGCTCCTGCAGTAGGTGGGGCTTGAATTAACTGAGTCTTCAAGGAAGCCAGAGAAACTGAGAAGAAGAAGTAAGAGGGGAGAGTATTGGAGGCATAGGGGGCAATCACTGCACTGAACTGGAGACTGGAGATGGAGAGTCTTGTGTGATGAATTACAAGTAGATCAATGTAGAAGGGCCCAAGAGCTCACAGAGGGGATTAAATATAAGAACAGGAAAGGCAGAAATGGGCCAGGTTAATGCCAAAATAGGAACCCGGAGGTAATAGGGAGTCACTGCAGCTCATTAAGCAGGTGGGGTCAGGCCTGGGCTTTAGACAAATCACCTTGGAAGTTGAATGGAGGGTGGATTGCAGCAGCAAAGGATTTACAGAGTAGCCTACAGGTTGTAATTGTTCCTTTAATTTGGGCTAAAATATAACTGTTTTATCAATGGGAAGATGTTTACAAGGATAATTCCATAAAAGCCAAACTTAATTTTATTAATTTAAAATGCAAGAGGTTTTCCCCTTGAAGATTTTAAACTTGTAGAAGCACATGGTGATTATCTGACTTTGGTTTTCTTCTTAATTTTGTAGATCACCTTTGGGTATTGTTTCCAGATGTCTGCATGGTGATTGCCTCAGAAATTGCTGTGGATATTGTAAAGCATGCCTTCATCACCAAATTCAATGACATTACTGCAGATGTATGTTTGTCATAATGATCTGAGAGTTTGAGCTTGACTTGTGTTTTAATATTTTCTGTTTTTCTTTCATGTAACATTAAATTATAATATATATGAAGACTAATAGAAGAAAGGTGTTTTGTATCACTGAAGATTATTCATTTATTTTCTCTCAGAATTAGAAATGCCTTTTATTGTGTTTTTAAAATCTAAGATTTTGTTTCAGTGTAATATCACATAACATCTATTCTTCCAGTTTCTATATGCATGCAGAATTTGGTTTTCCTCTCAAAAGGATTTGATTACATTTGGGGAAGTTTATTTTATGATTGTAACCTTTCTAGAATTGAGCATTTTGACGTGGCTATGTTAAAGGCATTGTAGAAAAGGAATTCTTTTTGTTCATATAGGTTTTCCTTATCTCCCTCTTACAATGGGGTCAAATATAGAAATGCTATCCGTTTTAGTGATTTTATGAATATTACACTGTGATGCATTTAATAAGCAGGACACAGGGATTTACATTTGTCCTGCTTTTACATAAGAATGTAGAAATAAAAAATAATGAGATTAATTTCAACTGTGAAGTTCTGTAGTTTGCTGTTTGAGTTATTGTATATTTGAAGCTTTATTTTGTATATTTTTGTTAGAATATGTAACTAGAATAGTAAGTTAGAATAGTAATTTTCAGACACTGATAAAAAGAATCGCTTTCCCTTTTTACCCTTTTGTTGCCTTAAGGAGAACAGCAAAAAATTTCCATTAATAAAATCATTTTCTCTATATCAAAGTAAAATTCACAGAGTAGATTTCAAGGATTTAGTATCTGCTGTTCAAATTGGCAAATATATGCATATCTTCAAAATATATTCCCTAAGAAGCTCAAGGCAGTTAAGCATTAGTATTTTTATATATGACATTAGATTCTCAACAGTTCATCTTTGTCTAAATTACCTTAGAATATAGTGCCTGAAATCCCCAGCTTCTTGACATTTCTGGATTATGAGTATATGTGCATATTGTGTATATTTGCATAGTACTCTTATCTGCAACAAATACTTTTCGATCCAGGAAATACATTTTTGCAATGATTTGGTAACATTTTATATAATAAAAAATAGGAGTATCATGTTTATATACAAATAGAAGTAAGTAAATTTGGAAAATGTGACAAATTAGATTAAATTTAATGAGAGCCATGGTTAATATTGCTCCTGCCCTCGCTTTTTTTTTTTTTTTGCATACGTTCAACTCTAATAACTTTAATTATGTCATCTGAAAAACAAATTAGTTATGTGGGCATCTTTGCTCTTAATATTTTGTCTTCAGGTTCAGTGCTACTCTCTGGTAATGCTACACACAAAAACACATTTTGAGAATTAGCCCTTTTCTGGCACATAGCATTTTATCCTCAAAATCAGCAAAAATTAAGGGTGATGTTTTGTTTTAAATTTCAAGTGGCAGCCCAACCATTGTAATCTGCCACATTTGTGTTGGCAACAAGATTATTGTACTTTGGGCAAAGCCAAGCATTTTATGAAATATCAAGTCATAACCAAACTTAGACATTGGCCAGATCAGTGAATTTTGTAATATTCTAAATGTTCTGTCTGTTACTATGTCAGATGTAATTTAAAGATATTAGGTATAATTTATACTTCACAGATAAACACTGATGTTCCCACATGTGCCATAAAGAGTTATATTTCTTGTTTCCAAATTTTTTTTTTTAGGTCTACAGTGAATACAGAGCTAGCCTTGCTTTTGACCTTGTTAGCAGCCGCCAGAAAAATGTAAGTATTAAATCAAAAATATCTTCTGATATAAATTAATGGTCTATTAAATTCAGTTTGGACATATTACTTAAAGGATCCATGATTTTATGGAGATGAGGATTCTCCCAATTATATCAAAACTGTTCTCTGCCTTAGGAGACAATCTTGCGACTTACTTGACCAAAAATTTTTCATCAACCAATTGCAAACTTTCTGGTGATCAGTGTCACTGAACTAGGCTGGTCCTCAGATGACAGTTAGAGATTTCATTGCCATGTCCATCTCCAAAACCTGTTAGCTGCTTACACTGCACTGAGAACTCAGAGTCATCTCTACACCATGACAAGGCATTGGAATATACCACCTTTGGAATTTTTAAATGTCAGCTAAGAAAAATTGCAACATTTAAATTTCCTTATAACTTATAAGCTGAAGAACAAAAGAACAATGTTAGGATCGATACTCATTTGTTTACTGTCTTTAATCATGTTATCTTCTAAATACCTTTGTTATTTAAAATGTATTTTAAGCTTTCTTGTTTCACTAGTTGTAGTGAAAACCATTAAAGTTTCTTGTCCGCTTACTTTGTTTTACCTGTCTGATATTTACTAACAAGTATCAGCAGTTGCAAAATAAAATGTTTTAAAGTAGTTTATTGAAAATTTGAAATTGGCTTAATCTTTCTGTCTCTAGGCATACACTGATTATAGTGATTCTGTCGCACGGAGAATGGGCTTTATTCCTCTCCCACTGGCTGTTTTAGTAAGTATCTTGTACATTTCCCTTTTTTTCCTTTAGTAGAAATTGTATCTTAGTACTTCAAATGCTCCAGTGATCAATAATTTCACCAGAGTAACTACAGCTTAGTAAACTTCATTTGTGATTTGCTCTTCCTCTATTTCTCCAGCTAAATAATGACCATACTAATTATTTTTAAAGTTCTAAAGTATTAATAAGTATGTCACAATAAGATTGTTTCAAAAAGTCTAACATTACTTGGAAAGTCATACATAAAAATATTATCATGGCTTAGAGGAAAAATCTGAGTTTCAATTATTGATATTCTTTTGGTTGTTGGGTCCTTTGGAGGAGCTTCATTTGAGAGTTACATTTGTTCATACAACTAGGAACATTCTAATTAAGTGACAGTATAGACATGCAAATAGTTTTCAGATGCTATTATCCT